TGGGGGGGGGCGGGAGAGAGAGAGAGAGAGAGAGAGAGAGAGAGAGAGAGAGAGAGAGAGAGAGAGAGAGAGAATAGAAATATGGAAACTGGAATTAATTACACTACTGTTTCATAACAACAACAAATAAAAGATTTCCTCATAAGCATATTCGAGGGTCTTGCTGAAGCTCTTCCTCACAAGTGGGTAGAACGAATAAGTCTAAGTATTTCTAGAATCCAATTTAGGATAATACATGTAATTTTTTCCAGCAGTGTCTCATCGAAACGGTTGAAAAAAAGTTGCTTCTTTAGTTCGCTGAAAATGAATGATGCTATTTCGAACCAAGGTGTGTGTGTGCTTTCAACACACCTACACATCTAGTGTGTCTTTTGTGCCATCTGTGCTTGCATGTTAATCAATCAAAATATGTTCCCGTAGGTCCGATTTGTATTTGACATCTGAAATACACACTTCTGTGAATCAGAGCCCCCTGAATATGTAACAGCCATGCAATTATTGTTTCCCTTTTACTATTCTCTGCATTACACAAGTTAGTAGACAAATGCTAACCACACATGAATATCAATCAGGTGCCATAAAAGAGCAGCTGCAATGCCTCATAAATGCTTTAATCCTGTTACTAGTGAAATGGCCGTGACTTTTCCTTCCTTCAGCTCCAAGTCATTTCAGATGAGAGAAATGGAAATTAATATTACTCTTACCTTTGAAACCTGCAACTGCCAGTGGCTATTTTTATAAGAGAAAAATGCAGGATCTATAAAATTTTATTTATATGAGATAATGGTAGAGAGGGCTCTTTTTAAGTCATTTCCTCAGCATAAAGTAAATGCATAAGACCCTTTTCTTGATGAAGAAGAAATCAACCTGAAATAAAGAGATTGAAGCCTTTACCACCTCTTGGTGATGTATGACTAGAAGTGAGAGATTTTTTCTAGAGCTTGCCAGGAAGATCATTAAACAGGGAGGAAAGAATTTAAATTGAAAAAAAAAAAAATCTCAGTGCTCTCTAACTTCACTCACATGTATATTTTGTAAAGAACTCTGTTCCTTGTGATGGTCTGGGATTAATGAAGTACAGTTTAATTAAATAATTGGTCAATGCAGACAAGGCTGCATAATGAATGCCTCAGCTGAATAATTAGACAGGGCATTGCCAATCTTACCCATCATGGGTAAACAAAATGATTAGGACTTCCCATTGATTCTGTAAACAGATTAGAAAAGAAAATCAACCCCTGTCCTGGGATCTTTGGGATTTTATCTTCTCCTATGCCTTAGCATCAGCTTGCCATCACTGCAAGTCTTGGCTTGAGCACAGAGCCAAAGGGGAGGGGAACGTAACTGCTCAGTTCTTGGAAGATCCTGGGGACAGAGCAAGAATTTGCTTCTGGAGATATGCAATCTCCCAGTCTGCTCAGACTTTTGAGAAACTTAAAGTTCAAGAGCCTGTCTTTCTATGTACTAGGCAGAGGTTTCTTGTTCTCAGCCTCTGCAGAGTCTCTTCCACAAATGCAAGCATTTATGAGACTTGCTAGATGATCTGCAATCGCTGCTTGAATTGGGCTCCCTTTTTGCTTCAGACAATTAGTTTTGTCGAGTGAGAATACAGGCACAGTCTTTCCCTTGTAAAGATCAACCTGTATTATTTATTAACCCTATTGTTTTGCTGATTATTGCCCAGAAATTGAATTCCCAAACGATAGGCTGAATCATTTGTGTGCAAAATAATAAATGACTTTGAGAATCTGGCTACATTTTAATGTATTTCTTTTGACAAGTCTCTTAATGCTTGATGTCTTTGGTGCACGTTGCTGGGTCTGTGTCAGTGTTAATTAAATTGAGCTCTTCATGTTCGAGTTGCAGCACAGCTGCTTGTAGGTGCACCTGAATGGGAAAAGAATGCTGAATGCACTAACCTTTAAATTCCTTTGCAGTAATTGTTTAACCATCACTTGTCTCCTTGGCTGTTTTAAAAAAGAACAAAACAGCAAGTGTCTGCATTACATCTCGGTTTCTCCCCTTAGTAAGGAGCAAGACAAAAAAGCTGAGGAGTAAATGAGCCTAAGGGGAAAGAAGTAAAGAGGAATTTTCCCTCATTCGGATGGGTTTGGCTATGAGATTTCTCTAGGAGAGGAGTGGGTGGGGTAGAGAATAGAAGGGAGCAGGGCTAGGGCAGGGAAAAGGAGAGTGTGGAGGAGAGGAGGTGAGGATGTGTCAAAGGACGGGGTCTGGTCTCCTACTCCAGTCCCAAACTCATTAGGTCAGTCATAGAGAAACCTGATTGAGGGTGTTTCCCACCTGGCAAATGCCTGGAGAAACTGGAAAGGGGGTTGTTATTTATTTTCTTCTATCTCCTCTTCTATTTAATTAGGAATTGCTTCACCCAGGAGTTCCTTTGGGTTCCAGGGAAGCTACAGATTTGAGCATTTTAATGCTTTCTCTCCCATAGGCTCAACTTTCCCCATCACCCCACCCTTGCTAAATGGTCACTCACAATAAGGAATTCCAAATCCAGTGTACATAAACTTTTTTGGGGGGTTGAGTGGGCGGTTACTATGTTTAATTTGAAAATTTTATGGCCCTCGGCTTCTTTTCACATGTAGAAAACATAGGGAGAAACTTGATGATGTAATGCTCCCAAATGAAAAACTGGAGTGGATATGGAATGCAACTCTCTAGGGTGCTTAATGTTTATTAATCAATGCATGGTTTGGGAGGGCGTTAGCGATACATGCTGCCTTTTCTGTCACATAGAATCGCTGAGTACTCCTATGGGCATCAAAAGAAATCAAGCAAGAAGAAAAAAATCAGTAAGAATGACATCCGCCTGGTACCCCGGGATGTGGAGGAGACAGACAAGATGAACGTTGTCAGCTGCTCCTCCCTGACCTCGTCCCTCAACTATTTCGACTACCACCAGCAGACGCTGCCCCTGGGTTGCCGCCGCTCTGAGAGCACTTTCCTGAATGTGGAGAACCAGAATACCCGCAATACCAGCGCCAACCACATCTACCATCACTCTTTCAACAGCCAGGGGCCCCAGCAGCCAGACCTGATCATCAATGGTGTGCCTCTGCCCGAGGTGAGTGCAGCTAAATGGCTGTGTGAGGTCCTCCCAGACTTCTTTCCCATGCTACTCCCTGGACCCTATAGGTCTCTGAGCTGGCACATTTCCTGGCAGGGGTGGGGAGAACTTCTCTGCCTAAGCCTATTTCCATAATCAAGGTTTGCTACCAGTGCTTCTTGGGTCAAATTGTAATCCAACATACTGGGCCTTTGTAGGGGTGGATGTTGGAAGTGAAAGTTCAAGGGGTCTGAACCTTAGAAATCCTTGTATGGTATTTTGGCATAATATTAATTTGCTGTACTTTCTGCAAATATGATGCTTGCCAGCCAGTGGTACCTATATTCCAGTTAAAGTGGCAAAGAGTCAACAAGTGATTTTAAATAGGGTGAACCCTAGAATGCTCAGGGGCCAATTTCCCAGTATGAGAGTGACTCAGCCTTCTAAAGCCCCATTTTGCATTTTCTTTGGTCATATGTATGTTTTGCTGAGAATATGAACGGGTTGATCAAAAAAAAAGACAAACAAAAAAATTAAAAATCCACTTGTCATTTCTTGGTAGTTCTTATGGTGACATTTGACAAATGAGGAACTTGAAACTGTCAGTAATAATGAACATTTCAGGAATTAACCATACATTTGAATTAGCTCTGTTTCCTTTTACCAGGAATGAATGTTTTCAAATGGAAGCATTTTTTTTAGAAATACTATGCGGTCTGATGTTTGCTGGCTATTGAAATATCTCAGGGTAGCAGGGTGATAATGTGGATGATAGTGGCTGGGTAGAAGGGTATACATAGCAGTTCTTAAGTTGATTTTATTTTCCATGAATTGCTTAAGTCTCTCTTTGGTTGAAAATTTGATGCTCTGGGAGGTGCATTACCCTCTTCCAAGCCACTAATAAAAAGAATACTGTATACTTGGAGAGCACTTCCACATTTTTTGAAGCACCTTCACAACTATTGTCTCTTTTGACCCTTGCAATCAGTTACCTTGATAGATTGCCCTACAGTAGATGATGAAATGGAGGCCCAGAGATGCAAAGGGATTTGTTCAGAGAGAGAGAGAGAGAGAGAGAGAGAGAGGACTAGATTGCAGGGCTCTATAACTCTCTGGCAAGTGCTATTTCAGTGACACGTTCCTGACTTAGAAATAATTCAGCCTGACATACCTGGGCTATGATGCACATAAAATAGCCTCATAGTATTTTTATCAATTTCAGAGGGCAAGGGGTTTTAGGACCACTTACATCGATTGCTTCTCCTAGGATTAACAGGACTAAACAGCAGTGCTTTTGATAAGAAACTGATGATATTCTGCCAGCAAGAAAAAACACCAGTATTTTCAATCTATAAATAAGGATTTATTAAAAATCCAGTATTATTTTAGGTAGGCTCAGTTATAATTATGAATTTTAGTGACTAGACCATAGACCTATTAGAAGACTACTTGTGGACCACCAAGAGTTCAGCAATGGAGAGGGAGAGATAGTGCTATGTAGTGGAATCAGATAGAACATGGTTTTGAATCTGGGGTATACCTCTTGCTATGGAATCCCTCTAAATCTGTTTCCTATCTACAAAATGGGCACATCTACCATGCAAGGTTGGTCCAAGGAACAAGATGACATTGAGTAACGTAAAGGGTCTGACACGTAGATGCCCTCTGAATCAGACAATAATTGGAAAATCACTATTGTAATGGCCTGTACATCTGAGTGTGACTCCCTAAGCACTTATAACTAAAGATGAATTTAGGCTTGTTCTATATAGATAAGACCTACAAAGTGGTGTGGTTAGAGTATTCATATTGGTTATTTAAACAATGGAGGTAAAATATGCCATCGTGGAGGGTTAATGTGCTGACTGCTGTTGCTTGTGGAGATAGACAAAATGATTGAATCCTGAGGGCTTGGTGATTGTTTATGCAAGCAATTCAAGGCACTAAAGAAATGAGAGCCTCGGTGTCTATGAAGTACTTGGAGAAGGCAGGAGACATATGGCTATGTCTACATGGTTTACCTAAGATCTTGGTGTTCTTTCTGAGATTCTCCTACTGGCAGAATAAAAGAAAATATTGCTTCAATTATTTAGAGAAACCAGTGAAAGTCTGCATTCTGATCCTATCCCTGACTACAAAGCCAGATGCTCTCTTTATTTAACAAAATCACACAGATCTAGTGTCTAGGGCTAGTCAGGGCCAAGACAGTTTGTACTAGACACAGTGAGGTTAAGTATGTATTTTTAATACACAGTCCTGGAGAGTTCAATTGACAAATCCAGTTGGAAAGGGGAGAGACCCACTCACAGCCAAGTATGAATCAGGCCATTTAATCTATATATGTCACAAAGTCCTACATGGGAAAAATGACACTTCTCCTTTCATTCCCATACTAGGGGCCCCTCAATGTGGATTAGGTAGGATACTTGAAGTACAGCGAACTCTATAGAAGAGCAGAAATGATTGATTCATACATTCAGTGAATATTTGTTGAGTGTCTACTCTTTGTAAGGTTCTGCTCTAGGCTCTAGTGTTAGAGAAATAAAAAAGGTGGTCACTGATCTCAAGGAATGCACATTCTAATGGGGTAAACAAGCAAACAAATAGGTGATTTGCAGTATAGAGTGATAAATGCTACTACTATCAGGTACAATGAGATATTCACCATTCCTAGGATAATAATATACTGATATATTTCCTACCTTTTCTTTATATTTTCCTCATTAATTAATTAATCAATCTAGGAAACCAACATTTATTAAGCAATTATAGTGCACAGTGATAAGTACTACAATGTGATAAATCTATAAAATTCTATGGAAATTTCTGTATTAAATCTTAGGGGGAGGGGGGAAAATAAAAAAATAAAATGTTAAAAAATATGTATATATAGTATGAAAAAATAATAAATAAACTGGCATTAAAAATAAATCTTATGTCACACTTTTCTTCATATTATTTCATTAAACCATTTTTTGTTTATTAATTCAATTCAGTAGCATTTATTGCACACTTCAAATGTGCCGACACTGTACTACCTGCCGAGGATACAAAAATAAAACTTTATCCTTGACCCCAGGGAGTTTACAGGGAGACAGACAAGTAAACAGATTATTTCAACAGGTTATTTCAACTTAGGATAACATCTCTGTCCTGAACATATGTTACATTCTTATTCTTCAGATTGAGACCAAAGGTCACACTACCCATGAGGTTCCTCTGCTGGGCTACCTTGTGACAAACCCACTCCCTTCATTAGGTGCAGAGAATCAGTTGCAGGGCTTACTGGCAGTGGCATTACAGAGGAGTCAGAACTGCTTCCCTCACAGCACTCCATCACACTTTGAAGTTTATCACCATGGCATCAGATCAAATCAGTAAGCATTGTTTGAGTATCCACTGTGTACTCAGCTGTGTGGCAGATACCATGAGGAGCCAAAATAAATATAAGATATAACTTCTGCCCTCAGGAGTTCACAGTCTAGTTGGGGAGCTAAGATCACCTGCAAGATTTCCCTGCATGCAATGCAAGAGTTTCTAATCAGGTGTTACTATTTTGTGGGCTCTTGAGCACCCCCCTTCTCCTCCTTCCACGGCAGTGCTTCCATCGTTTATGCACAGATTTACTGCTGAGCTCTCAAGTTTTGGTGCTCATTTGAGGGTAACTTTTGCATTAGTGTGCAAACCTAGCCACGTCTGAATATTGGCTCTAGAAACCAAAAGGAACATGACTTTAAATGCAGTTAGGTAGCTAAGGTAAAGAGAATGGAGCATTGGTCTGGAGAATAGGAACTCAGCTTTTAGTATTACAGAGATCATCTTGCCTAGATTGTATATCATTATTTACTAGTCTTGGGATGTTGGTCAGGAAATCAGCCATATTGATTTTTTTTGGTTTTGTACACAAATTTGAGGGGGGAAAGTGGAGGAGGACTTTGCTGTTTGCAGAAAAGTTTTGTAGAATTAGTGATGTCAGGTATCTCTTAAATATTTTAAATTAAAAGATGAGGTTTGCATTCCTTGGCATTGTGGTTTATTTAGTCCATAGATTTAGTGTATGTGTAAGTGAATGTGTGGGTGAGTGTGGGTATGGGTGTATAGGGATGGAGATTGAATAGAGGGAAAAGGAGGCTGAAAAAGAAACAGAATGAAGAAGAGAGAATGTTAGTAGGTTTGTCAGTTTGCTAAGATTTTTCTAAAAATATTTCAATTTTTTAGAGGCTCCTTAGTATGGCAAATAATTTTTCTCTCAATCTTATGGAATGAAGGCATGCCTAATGGGCACCCCTGCATGCTGGAAAGTGTAACTTCTTTGTACATAAGCATTTCTTCATTATGCTCTTTTTTATCCAGGCCGTGGGCCTTGCCAGAGGAAGAAATTGCAACTCATTTCTTCTACTAGTAATGGAGACTTGGGTGGGACATTTTCCTGACCAAACATATAGCCTCTTTGATGAGGCAATTTTTAAATTTTAGTTTTCTAGTGTTAAATACTCTGAAGTTGACAACTCTAAGAATCTATTAGTGGACAAGAGCTTCCAGAATTCTAATCTTAGGTACAAAAGGATTTAGATTTTTGCTTCAAATTCAATCTTGAGTTTGCTATTTTTCTACCTTTCACTAGCAAACTGTAGCATCTTTGTGTGTGCTCTGCTATGGTCACTCACCAAGCAGTTTCATGAGTAGCAGTGTAGGTAGGCAAGAAGAACAAGGGTATATGTGGCAGACCAAATTGAATGCTTCCAATTATCCTACAAAAAGTTTCAATGCATGTTATTTTAGTGCAAATAATGAAACTAAAACACCAGTTAGGCTTTGAAGAAAATAAAAAGAAATAGCTTAGCATTCTTTGGTCTCTAAAACAGAATTTTAAAGTTAGGGAATTGCAGTGATTTAAGTGAAACTCTAAGCTAAGAAATTAGAAAAACAACCACAAACCTTATTGTCAGATTCAAAAATTATTAAAAAATTAACAGGTATCATGAGGCTGGCTTGAATAGCAAGAAAGTGATACAAAT